TACTAGGAGCAAGAAGCTACTATAGGGGCTCCTGGCATCGCTACTAGAAACAAGGACACTACTAAGGGCTCCTGGCCTTACTACTAGGAGCAAGAAGCTAAGAAGCTACTATAGGGGCTCCTGGCATCGCTAGTAGGAGCAAGGACGCTACAAGGGGCTCATGGCCTTACTACTAGGAGCAAGAAGCTACTATAAGAGCTTCTGGCATCGCTACTAGGAGCAAGGACGCTACAAGGGGCTCCTGGCCATACTACTAGGAGCAAGAAGCTACTAGGGGCTCCTGGCATCGCTACTAGGAGCAAGGACGCTACAACGGGCTCCTGGCATAGCCGACCGAGGTCGACCCTTGGTGGAGTCACCATGAGTGACCAGTTACACTCTGACGAACACATGGTCCCGAAGTGGATGGCATGGGACCACAAGGAAGACGGCTTTATTTCCCTCACAAAGAGGGGGTACCATCCACTTCCATGTGATGCGTTCGTCGGAGTGTAGATGGAGTTATGAGTTGACAGTGAGGGATTTCTGGGACGCCCTCGAAGTCCTAGGAAGTTCCCAAAGGCTGACAACCCCCTACAAGTCCAGTTCCTCGTAGCACAGGGGACCAGTCCATCCACAAGGGGACCAGTCCTTAATGATCCCGTTCCAACCCATAAAAGCTGGGTGGACATTTTTCCGGTACCTTCTTGCTGATCCAGGACTGCTTTGGTGTTTTCATCCATGAACAGTGAAACTAAGCACTATAGTCACCACTAGTCACCACTAGTCACTAGCACAACCGGAAAGTCTGGCGAGACACCCCAGAAGAGGTGTCATTTAGCACACAGAAGAACTTTCAAGCTCCACGCCAGGCTCACACGGCTCACACCCACATGAACTGCGTATAGATGTCCTTTCAACAAAGCCTCGAACAGCACATTCTTTGCAACTATGTTGAAGACTCGAAAGGACTATATTAAAGGACTCAAAGACTTCAAGAGAATTCCAGGAGACTCTCCAAGAGACTTTTAAGAGAAGTCGATGTTCAAATACATACGTCTTATCTATATTGATTTCTCCCTTCATTCGAAAGCGCTCAGCCCAAGGACTTCAGAGTGATCTCCTCCTGCTTGTCAGGAGCGTCCTTGGGCCACACGCCCATTACCGGATTCACGATGGTGATTGGAGTTTGCATCGACTCCAAGTCCTGGCGAGTGCCCCTATCACGTCCGCGAGGGCGCTCACGCCCTCGCAACTGCGAAGAGCTTTCGGGTCCAAAGCCCGAGTTGCGAGGTCTGCGAGGGTGTGTTTGACCCTATAGCTAAGAGATGCTATGGAGAGGTCCTTTTCGTCAACTCTAGATGGCCTCCGCTGGCACTTCCTCTCAATGACCATGTGTGGAAGACGCACAAATCCCGCTACAGTATCCCTTGCATGTGTTCGGACACAATAGGTCTTTCCCCTCGATGTGGCCTGGGTGACGGTTCTTGCTTCGTCCCCATGAGGGCTTTGCACCTTCGACCCTTCGACCCCCGTTCGTTCGCCCGGCGGACGGGGTCGGCGAGCGGACCTCCGCTTCGTTGGAGAGTCCACAAATGTTGGCATCAGTGGAGTAGCGCTTAGAGGCCTGTGACACGATCTTGTGGTCAATGCCGTGCTTCTGCAAGAAGCTCAGCCTGGGAAAATAGAGGTTAGGTTAGTTGGGCAGGTTGGTTTTGGGATGGTTTTCGTTGGGGGGGGTGGTTAGGTTCATTGATTGGATGGGCCTCAGATCCTGTGAGTGACCGCAAGTCGTCGCACTGCGCACTCCATGGTCTTGTGGGAACGGAGACTCATAATTAGTCTACGTTCCCACAAGACCATGGAGTAATATGACTCATGTACTGGCTCTCTGGCTCTGTTAACTCCTAAATCAAAGCTGAAGCATTAGTCGACAAAGAACGCTCATCAAGAAGTCGAACGACTTTTTCCCGTCGAAGCCGCTGTCAAAGCTTCGGTGTTTCAAGTCGCCGCCGCGTCGATTCGACCAGCTTCGGAAGTGGATGATTCGCCTGATGGTCGATAGGCCTCTTATCTAGCTGGGTCTTTCAGGGCCGCCCCACTGGCTGCCCCATGTTCCGGCCTTTTTCAGGGCCTTCTCTGTCCGAACTCTCATCTTTTCTCCACATGCCAGTCAGAGAAAAGACTCTTTGGTCAGAGATGGTCATCCAAGCATGTCTCCAACCCACCCACCAACCCAACTCAACCCATCTGCCTATGTCCCTTCCAACATCTCCCAACCCCCACATGGCGCGCCCGTTCCATGTCCAGGCAACATTTGGCTCCTCCCCGGGAACTCCTCCAAGAGCACCGGGTCGCGCCAGGGTGCATAGACTTTGAAGCTGGGATCCATAACGTTCACATAGCGCTCGAAGCGAACCTCGGAGAGCCATGCCAAGCATGGGCAGCGCAACATCTGAATCTCATCGAATCTGAATCTACTGCAATCCGTGAATTAGGGTGACACATGGGAAGGAACTGTCCCGAATCCTATGACAAGGGTACTGCTCGAGCCTTGTCATAGTCTCTGGAGAATCGACTCTGCTTTCAGAACAATGCCACTTTTGGAGTTTCATGAGTTTCTCTTCAAAGACCGTGCGACTAACTTCCGCAATCTTCCGCAGAAAATGCATTTGGGACACCCGTAATTGTAGACGTTCACACAACAGTGGCTGGAAACGTGCAGCCACCCCCAGAGCTCGTTCTATGTACCGCAGCGCTCGCACCGATTGCAGGACCCAAACTGAGTGGACCCCCCAAAATCCTAAGAAGGGCTTTTTAGAACCTCCAAAATCTGCCTTTGACCATCTTTGACCTAAGGTCTTAAGACAGACCCTAAGACCCTAAGACCCTAAGAACTAGACTTAAACATATACTTAAACCATCTGGTCCCCGTTCCCCGACCGGTGCCCGGTCCCGGGAGATGAGATCCCCCCGCACCTGGTCGTTGCCGCGCCCCGTGGCACCGTGGGAGAGCACTGTGCAGCCCGCCTTCTTCATGGCCTTTTGGCCCAGCTGTGTCGGTTTCCAGCATGACACAGGAATGGTTCAAAGATGTTTAAAGACTAGTGGCGTGCCCCCCCGCCCATGTCAAAGCAGCACATCCACCGAAACGTGTGGGTGAATTGGGAGCATCCAAGTGTGGATTCATTGCGAGTTCATTTTTTAGTTGACAAGTTCGGACCAGCTGAGACGAGGAGTCCGCACCGTACAGCCCTCAAATAAGGCCATTTCAGGCGCTGCGTGCCAATGAGGCTGAGGAAATCACGGAGGTGCAGGGTGTAAGTGGCTAATAACAGTGGATGTCTTTTGGTTGCTTAAATTCTAGGGTCAAATGCTGGGTATTATAGTTGATAGTTGCATAACATATATGGTTGCTTCATGAGTTGATGGATGGATCGAACACATAGAGTGGACGTTGTTGGTTTTGCTTCGTTGACGACACAAGACAGGAACTAAAACCTAAAACCTTCAGTCCCCCAAGCAAGTCCTTCCAAGCCGAAAGGTGTCCATGATCGACGACAGTGGCGTGGGGCTTGCTTCCACATGGACAGGTCTTCTGATTGGACAGGTCTATGATATGGAAGATTAACATAGCCGATGAACTGTGGAACCGACATGTTAACCAGTTAACACATGTTTTCTATGATATGAGAAGATTAATGAAGATTAACATGGAAAACTGAAAATCACCACTGCCTGGATTGTAGAGGAAATAAAAACAGTCTTCCACAGGTTCATAACTCTTCATATGTTTTGTTGCAGCTTCCATGTGGGTCCTCGGGTGTAAAGTCACACACACTGACTGCAGTCGACTGCAGCCCACACACGGAACCAGTGACGCACTGGTGGGCGAAGCAATGATGGGATTGGTGGTGCCATGGGATTCTAGCAGGGCGGCGAACCTCCAGGTCGCTCCAGTGAGGAAAAAATCTGAACGTCATTCGACCTGCTCCTTTGCCATGGAGTTCTCCCTGCCCCCCCTGCAGCCAAATGCCCCATCAAGCACTTTTAGGGCCATCATTACTATTCACCCACTGATCCGAATCGCAGTCCTCGCCCCACCCGCCCCCCAAAAACAAATGGCTGTTCGCCTTTCGCGTCGTTGCAAGTGCCGCGTGCAACGAAAAAATGCCCCTCAACCTACCACGCAACCCGTCCCCCGCCGCGTTTCCATCCCTCACAACCGTCGCTGCCGCGCCGCGGCTGTGCCTGGAGCAAGCCCCGGGCGGTGACGTATCTGCCAATACCCGTGGACTGCCAGTAGCCGCCGTCGTACATCGCCTGCGCAGCCACCGCCTCGAAGGCGCCCTCGGCGATCTCCTTCCTTGGAAGGGGAGAGGTTGGCTCTGGAGAGGCGGTGGAAAAAAAAGCGTGGGAAACCCATGGGTGGAACGGATGGGAGGGCTTATGGCATGGTTCCTCTGATCTTTTGCTATTTTCACATTGGTGGGCCAGGTGGCCCAGGTCATATTGTGGAATATGGGGTGGATACTGCTCAGAATTCTGGGCACCACACCACGAAGTTTTGGGTGCCGTGGGCTGTGTATGACCTTGTAGCTGAAGGAGACATCTGGTAGGCTAGGGAATGCTTCGATGTTGCTACAGAATCTGCATTCAGGTACTCGGCTCACTACTCGTCTCCTATTCTAGGAGCCAATCTGCACCATCTCTGTCCTTGTACACCATACCTTTTCGTTGGTTGTGTGTGGGTTCCTTGAAGCTTCCAGGATCTTCAAGAGTCACAAACCACTCCGATCAGTCAGGCAATGGAAAATCACCCACTTCGGACGTGAAGGTCCAATGAACCAAGTTTCACTCTACCGGCTTCCTTTTTGAAAAATTGCACATTGGGTTCAGTCACCACATCACATCCATCATCCAACCACCTGTTCCAAGGGCGAACGGAACAAAAACAAAAACCGTGCCACCTTTGCTTTTGTTCAATCAACCCGGGGTCACCGGGTGACCCTCGGCCAAAAAGGGTGACCGAAGCAGCAGCACTCGAAAAATCTCTGAATCACTTCGATGAACCAGGATCGAAGCATGTTCTGAACAACATGGAAAAACAACATATTCTGAAAAAAAAATGTACCCTCCTGTACCCTCCGGTCACATCACCGGGATGAACGTTTCCTGGTTTCCTGTATTCTGAAAAAACTGTACCCTCCTGTACCCTCGTGTACCCTCTGAAAACCGTGAGCGAAGCAACACGACGAGAACCACGTTCGTCACATGGAGGGCCTGGGTGCGTGGCCTGGGCGCTGTCCTGGGCGCTGTGGCCTTTTCCCATCTCAGTGAGGTGAATGTGGACTTCTGGGCACCCTGGCCTCCAAGCTCTATGAATAGCACAGCAACCCGAAGTCGTCCAAGGCTCTTCAGATCCACGACGACGGTCTCCACGCCGCAGGGGGGCCATTTTCTTGATCACGTCGTTCCTTTTTTGCTCGGCGATGAACACGACCCAAACAACGAGCGAGCTCCAAAGGTTTTTTGCCCGAGTTCGTGCGTACTGTGAGTTTTGCCTCACCTACAAATGACACCAATCCCAACAGAATTCACACAGAATTGCTTGGGACTGTGAACCCAAGAGAAAATCCAGTGGTACATCATGGTACGAGTACATGCACATAATTGGCACAAAATCCAACTAAAATGCGGGAACAAAACACTTTGTTGCACGGAGGAGCTTCATCTTGTGAGCTCAAGTGAGGGATCATCCTTCTACTTCTGAAGGGATGATGCTCTGTGAGGTAGTCAGAGTCTGGATCTAATTTCACCTCTGAGCTAGACCAACGGACGCATCATTCATGGTGCAATCCAAACGAAGCTGAGTACATTGCAGCCATGGCAGCACTTTCCAAGTGCCGGTCCATGGGCGGAACCGCCATGGCGCTGCCATGGCCCCTGCCTTTGGGGGCTCCGTCCCTATCATCAATTGGGACAACGAGGGATGGTCAAATCTACCATGACTTACTTTCAGTTGGGGGGATCCAGAATCCAGCTTTCCACTCACAGCCTATCAAGTGAGGTCTCATGTTCACCATGCTCCATCTTCCCGGCTTCGAATTCCCAACGCTGCACGTCAAGCTCGTCCAAGGGGCACGTCCTCCTCATCAGGCTGACCGATGTCTGCAGTGAAGCACTTCACCTACACCCAGAACGATGCAGAAGGCTGAGAAAGCCCACAATGGTGCAGGATCCACAAGTGGTTTAGCTAAAAGCAGCTGAGAGCTGCCAGAGTTTGCACATCAAAATCTGAAACATACAAAACCACGTGAAGTGAGTCACTTGAGAGAACTGCTTGTGACACAAGACTAGTCACTACTCCAACATCATCCCTACATACCAGACTACTGCCTTGGAAGAAAGACAAGTCGAACTCTTACTCATCCCTCCCTTCATCTATCTCAAGCTCTTCAACATGTTGAAACCATACCCCAAATGCCCACCCTTCACAAAAAAGGGACATGAACACCACCCAATCCTATCACCCAATCCTACCATCCTTTCCTCCTGTCCAGTCCTCCTGTCCCTCGCCTTTACACCGGCCAAGCGGAGCCTTAAGGCCACGGTCTTGGAGTCTAAGCCGCCCGAGACACAGATGCCCACCTTGGATAGTCGGTCGGTCCGTGACCGACTCGTCGGACACCTGAAACAGAAGGACCCGGAGATTGAACTCCAACAACAAGGGCAAAAGAAATGCACCAGAAATCACCAGAAATCGGAACATCGGAGAAATTCACCGGAAATCACCTGAAATCTGCCAAACCCGGCCACCACATCACCATTCTCCACGTACTTCTTCAAGATGGGCGACTCCTGAACCCACCACCGGTCCACGGGAGGACAGCGGAGGGCGGTCTTTTCGGTCGGCGGATGGACGGCGATCAGCGATGAAGCCGTGCGGGCGTGGGGGTCTGTCGGCGAATGTGTTTGAAGAAATCTCTTCATCGTGCGGGTGCTCAAGATCGCCAACATATCAAAACAAACCATTTTTGCTGTTAGATATCTCGATCCGCAAGTATCAACAATCTGAAGAGTCTGAAGAGGTAAGCCTCACGCGAGGCACCGCGTCACCATGCACCCGCAGACCTTCTGTTGCATACCTTTCGCGCCTTTGTTTTTTTCCCTCGCATATATCCTGTCGCGCGCGCACGTGTTTTTGAACGCCTTCATGCCGTTCTCTCCCATGGCGATCGCCCGATGGATCTTTCTTATCGGCCGATGGATCTAAAGGCTTCGTCCAAAAGGCTAACGGCGCGGGCGTGGTGGGACTTGCTATGAAGAAAGGCGACCAGGTTGCGGATTCGTTGTTTGGGGGTTGACCAGGTTGCACACCCACCAAAAGGGACCAAAAGTGGTTCTGAAGTGACAATCTGAGCGAAGCATAGCAAAGCATCAAATCTAAATAACCCCACCTGGGTGGTGATGGTTGATTGCTTTGCTTGCTGGTTGCTTTGACTTTCTGACCACCCAGCGCGAGCAACAGCATCACAGCAGCCCCACGCAGCCCCCCCTCCCTGCCTAGGTTCACGCCAGGCTTGCCAGCCATTGTGCGATGACAACATATGACAAACGATGACAACTTTATGACAAAGCTTGTTCCACTTGTGCCATCTGTGGATTTCACTCCGAATACTGTCGTCTCGCATTCTGTCCTTCCGTCAGTAGCAAGAACACGTCTCACTTGCATACCGGTCAAATCATTTGGAGCCAAAACTCTCACTGGTTGCGACTTCTGAGGCAGGGATGTCTGTTTAGAGCTCAGGGTGGCACACCAGTTGCCCCTATAGCACCCGGTGATCACATTCCTGTAGCGCTAGGTGCAGCTGGTGCGGCATTACGACTGTGGATCTACGTGCAAAAATCATCATGTCATGCAAACCCCGTTGAATTGAGGAAATCACTCATCTGTTCCAGTAAACATGGAAACTGTAAACTGTCAAAGGATGTTCTGAGATGCCCACTGAGATGCCCCTCTACCAGCAACGAAGGTCTCTGTCATCTATCTATGCCAAATTGAGTTTCTTGACCGCCGCATCCACTTTGATATACTTGACCTATTGTGACGCAATCTAATGTACTGTACGTACTATGAAGGTCTCAACAGTGATGACCTACTGTGGCCTTCCACGGATCGCGCGCTGCTTTTCGCACAGCAGCAGCTGTCTTCCGGCGAGAGATGTATCTCTGCGCAGAGCTGTGGACGACATCGTCGAGGACGAGCACGACCCAGCGGGGTCCATGAGATTGGACGATTGACCCATCAGCTTCAGAGTCATTTGCCCCTTTTCACCCCTTGGTTTTGGTTTAGGGGAAAACTAATCAGGAAAACCCATTGGTTTGGGAGTGAAAACCATAGTTTCCTGTAGGTTCTACCTTAAACCAATTAAGTCTTGGACCAAACGTACGCCCCGCACGAGCTTGCGCGGGGGTAGCGGCTCGGTAGCGGTGGTCGAAAGCAGGTGAGCAGTCTTCTGTTCTGAAAGTCGTCTAGCAGCTTGGAACTAACGAAAACGGAGAGAGACTGGCATGCTGGGAACCTGGGGGAGACTGGCATACGAGTACATCGTTCCATCCATGGGTCCTCTGGGGAAGCAAAAGTTGGCCAGGCCCTGCTCGATTGAGCTGGCCGCCGCATGAGGGATCTTTTTGTTCGCTCAGCGGGCAGCTTCGTGCTGCGGAGCGTGCTGCGGAGTGCTGCGGAGCGGTCCAGGGACCAGGGATGTTTTTCACCATTGGAGTCGGGCGATGCTGTGCAGCACAAGGCACGGGTGTCTGGAGACAGGATCATCTCTTGTCTAAACCCAAGAGGTGTATTATGGTGTATTCTTTTCCCACTACCAAGAGAGCTCGTTGCTGACTGTCACTGTCTTTAACTGGGGATGTTCAGTGCCATGAACCAAACCCAGCCCATTGAGACCGGTGCCCCTGAGCTCCACAACCAAACCTATCCTGTAATTACCCAAGTATGCCTTCTCTTCCAAGACCTAGGGACCAGGGGCCTAGGGACCAGGGGCCTAGGTGCTTCAAATAGCACTCCTCTCTTGACATTGCTGGTCCATGTTTGAAGAGGTCCATGCTATGTCCATGCTTTGACATCCATCGCTGGATGCACAGTCGTTTGAAGAATGAATCGCCATCCTGGTGTGACACGGATGTGGGATGATTTGTGCTACGAGCGCAGAAGTGAAGAAAAAACCGACTAATTATTCTAATAACTATAACAACACATGATGATTCAGTCGATGTTGAGAAACACACACGTGTTTTACTTGATCCATGTCATGTTTCTCGATGTTTCTCGTGTTCCTCCTGTGACTGCTCCGCTTTTGCTGAGGAAATATGATTTATACAAACAGATACGAGAGCACTCATGCCTGGCCGTATTCACCCTAAGCAAAGCAACATCAATCTGTCACAAATTCAACCACCATCCAAAAGCACCTGGCCGTCCACCATGCTGGACCATGACCTTGGCCCTACATGACTCTAGGAGATTCGATTCTACGAGTCCACTGGCAGTTCTATGAACAAACATCGCCATCGGCCAACTGCCGCCTTCACTCAGCCAGACTCCTCTTCCACTGCTTTGGTCAAGACCGCCTCCACCTGTTCCCGCTCACCGAAGGTGCCGGGATCCAAACACCGGAAGTCGCTTCGCCGCGGAAAAGGCGTCACCGTTCTGTGCCGAGCTCCCTTCGAATGGGGAAGCAAGCAGATGGGACTGGTCCACTCGTTGGCGAAAGGGTCCGGGGGCGAAAGGAAGCTCCTTCTGCTCCTTCTGCTCGAGGCCGATCACGCAGGCCGCACAGTAGGCACAGTAAGTGGGGAGACAAGTGAGACCAATCGGAGTAAGGAATAGTGAGACTTCCTCGGGCTAGTAAGGCAGTCTTTTCCAGATGGGTGGATCATTTTTGTCGATCGTCCTGGCGGAGATGCTTGACATGTTGCATGATGCAGAAAAAGGGACAGCGAAGATCAAAGGCCAAGGCAGCTGTAGGAGCACCCTGTAGAGCTTCGAAGGGTCTAGGCCTCTAGGCCGGTTTAGGGCACTATGCTTGGCATATCAGCCAAAGGGTTGGCAGGCGGCAGATGCTTGGTACCTATGCGCCAGGCGTAAAATTCCCTGCGAACGAACCCCAGAGTTTCAGGCGGGGAAAGGTGCTCTCTCGATTCGCTCGTCAGACTCGGAGTCGTTATTTACAAAGTCATCCTTCTTGGCAAAGCCAACCAAACCAGTGTATCCATGCACTGTGTTTACCTCATCCAGAGCTGTGTGTGACTTGAACACTGCCACCAGCAACAACCTTCAACACCTTCAACACTCTTTGCTCCTCTAATTCTCGCTTGAAATGGGCCAAAGTACCATCAACTGTGCACCCTTTCCCTTCCCGAGTTCCAACATCATACACTTCGGAAGAACAAATGATATGCAGCTTATATTGCAGTAACACATCTCTCCTTCATGCCTTTCTTCCACCGCGTTCAGCCGCGTGCACACTTTCCGCAGCGCAGCTTCTGCGCCTGAGGCCCTACCGCCTTGACCACATCTGCTCCAGCATGGCGCACGGGGTAAGACCTCACGGCCAAGGATCTGGTCCAGCCAGGGTCGGTAGAACAAAACGTCCCAAAATGGGATATGCTGATGACCCAAACCCAACTGGCGGATACCTGGTGTGGGTCTCCAAATGGCCATGATTTCTTAGGCCAGACTGAGTAGACACGTCTTATGAAAATGTGTTTGGATTCGACACAGCCTCAAATGGTTGATTCCAGGACGAGGACCGAAAAAAAGGACAGTCGACCCCAACAGCTGCATTCAACGGCCAAGGGTTCCCAGATCACGTCTCGGTCCTCATTGGGCCGAAGAAAATTCAACATCTTGGATGCAATCCTTCATAACACAAAACATCATAAAACACTGAAACCTTTTCACAGCTCCACACACACACGTTCTTATTCATCAGATATCAGTCAACACTCACCTCTCTGTCTCGCGTCCATTTCGACTTCAGCCGAGTTATTGTTTGATTCGCCAAGGGAGGGACTCCAAGTACTGCTCCACCACGAAGGGCGAAGTGTAAACCTGAAGCAGATCGTGGGTTTCCTTTGCCCAGGAGACCTGTAACCAGATTGCTCATGCAACTAATATTTAGCGCTACTCATGAGCTCAGAGACATTGATGGTTGAACCACACATGGACAACAAACTGGGTGACCTTGAATTCCCCCCAAAGCAGAGGCAGATCGTGTGCTTCGCCATTCCATCTGAGAAATGGAAGAATCTTGAAGAATCCACGTGAATCTATGGCAGAAGTACACAGATACCATGTTTAAACACAAATTCACTTCTGGTTGAATCAATCTGAAGGTTGATCACCTAAAGAGCCTGGACAACACTCACAACACGGTACATGAGATGGTTCAATATGAATTTGCAATTGTTGTGTGTATATACTGTATACTGATTATAGATCTATCTTAATATGTGTAACAGTTGACACGATGATGGTTCAGTTGCAGGCCTTGTTCAAAAATAGTGTTAATAGGTCAAACCCACAATGTACCGCTGAAATAGATCGTTGATCCACTTTGACCCCGAACCACGAGTCTCATCGAAACCGATCCAGCCCGGTTTCCACTGGAGGATCGCCGCTCGCGAGCGGTGTCCCAGCTTCGGGGCAAGGTTTGATGCCCAAATGTGCCAAAAAGCAAAGGAGGATTGCTTTTTGCCATCCAAACAGAGACTCAACTTAAGGTTGTTCATGGTTGTTCCATGTTGTTCTTCGATTTGATCGCAAAGCTCAAAGCCCATGAACTAAAAGGCCATGCTGCCATGCTTTCCCTGCGGTCCCTGTCTGCGTCCTGTTATGGCTTTCACAGGTCTAAATCGTGGCGTTCGCCTCGCCGGAAACCCCCGACGCACCGCCCGCTTCCGCCCTGGCAGAC